ACTAGGTTGCTGCTGGAAGAGGTGTTAGTGAGGCCAGCAGGGGGTGCTCACCCTGTGGTCTGTGTGGGTCCTAACGCCCCAGTGTAGTGACGGGGACACTATACTGTCAACAAGCACCGTCCTTCGGATGAGACGTTAAACCGAGGTCCTGACTCTCTGTGGTCATTAAAAATCCCAGGATGTCTTTCGAAAAGAGTAGAGGTGTGACCTCGGCATCCTGGCCAAATTTGCCCACTGGCCTCTGATCATCATGGCCTCCTAACAATCCCCATATCTACTGATTGGCTTCATCACTCTGTCTCCTCTCCACCAGTAAGCTGGTGTGTGGTGGGTGTTCTGGCGCACTATGGCTGCCGTCGCATCATCCAGGTGGATGCTGCACACTGGTGGTGGATGAGGAGATACCCCCTGACAATGTAAAGCGCTTTGAGTGCCTAGAAAAGCGCTATATAAATGTAATGAATTATTATTATTTTATTATTATTATGAATTTACAGCTGAGCGCGGGCGTTTCACTGGTTGGATGCATCAGCGTTACATTTGCATAGGCCGTACTATGCTGTCTGACAAACTATATTTTGTACAGATTTTATTTTGTTTTGGCAAGTATTTAATTATTTTGCCCAGAGAAAAACGTTGGATTATGCAACAGACATGCAAGTCGTTGACTCCATGCAGTTAATTAATAAATCATCGGTATCGGCCCTTTTCATGCTATTTCCGATATGCCCATGGCTTTAAAATAATCAAAAATCGGCCAATAAATATCGGAGGCCGATACATCGGTGCATCCCTAATAAACAGTATTACTTTAACATGAATAGTTAGTATGTGACTATGTATTCTCATCTTAAATATGACACTGTTTCCAAACACAGAAAAATTCCTGGTGAAGCGACTGAGATCCACGTGAATATTATAAAGATGGCATTTATTAAGGAGGAGAATGAAGACATGAAGATTGAAAGAGCATTCAGTGTGAAGCAAGAAGATACTGACACACAAACAGGTTGGTTTCCATTCTCAAAACTGAACTTAGTCATGTTATCCTTCTTAAAATGTCGACCTCTACAGAAATGAATGATGTTTTTGAAGAATGTTGAAAGAATGAATATATATATAAGTGGGCTAATTAAAGCAGTTTCAGTTGACATGGAGTGGATCGCCTCAAGCCCAAAGTATGCTTGTTTTTTATTCATATGCTAGTATATGCGTATAGTCAAACATGCAGCATTTCAAAGTATACTCCATTTGATAGCGTGTGCGAACGCAGGCAGACGACATGTGCTCTGGAAAGCTTTATGTAATCCAACGTCTGCTCATTTTTCTCCAGAAATTATATATCTATATATATTAGGGCTGACAATTAGGCAATATCGCGTTCATAATCGCAGATGAATCGCATTCGATTATGAACGCGATATTGCCTAGCTTGTCAGTGAACTAAGGTAAATGCCACTCCATCTGAAAGCAGGTGATGGAGATTTACTACTAATCACGGAACCGGCTTTACTGACGAGATGCGCATGACAATCGCATGCGATTAATTGCACACCCTAGTATTAGGGATATAAAATATGGTCATACAGAATAGGTGCTTTATACGTACTAATTAAGTTAAACATGGTCGCACCCACTCTTTCATTACAAAAAATAGACTTTATTCTCATAATGCTAAAACATTACTTTGTAAAGTCTTTTTTATGCTGACCATTGTTTTTAATAAATACCATTATAATCTGTGAACTGGGATTAAGCCACAAACCAACTACATATCAGTTCAACTGACCAGTGGACTCACCATGACACAGCTTCCCAGGTTGAGGTGCTTGAGCTCTGGGCAGAATGTGAGGATGCTCAATATGGCTGATTGCTGCATGGGAAAAGAAATAAAATGGAGAAAACAGTGATGATTAACACATACCACTAATGAGAGAACAACATAACATTCTATTCAGATGCCAGTGGAGTCAAAATGAGACGAACGAACGCACATTTGATATCACAAATCAAAGATGACAACATATTTAACTCCGCTATTCAATATTCTTCTAAATAGATGTGTCAAAATAAAACTATTATATGACCTCACTGTCTGGCGCACATGGTTGACACTTGCATCGGAGATAGAGTGATATGATGTTTCTCAGAAAAAAATGGGTTTGTTTTGATTTAAAAAGCTGAAGTGTCATGAGAGCACCACTAAGAGAATACAGCCATTGTTTTCATTATTGTGTTGGTTTAAAAAATAGTCACGTGAAATGAAACTCAACCAACTGAAGATTGACAGTTCTCTTTGAGTTCGTTTTGTGTATATTTCCATAGTTATTTACACCATTAGGTTCCCTAGAAGACATTTCATTTACAGAGATGATGACAGAAAGGTGGGTTTGCTACAGACACAGTCTGCTGTGTATGTTTACGTGCAGTCGTCATCACTACAGAAACATTATATCTGTTGGAAGAGACACCAATACAACTACAAATGCTGATTCACAGTCAACCACACACAGAGGGACGGGACGACTCTAGATAAGTGGCACACTTGGGCCTGTACCAGCATGTAGAACTGATTTAAAGGTGGTAATGCCAGTATGCCAGACTTACACGGCCTGATGTTATACAATTATAAGGACAGGTAACTATAACAGTTTAAAATAGGCTGGCATAAGCATGTTTTCTTCTTCAACTCCCAAGACAACTTGCTTTTTTAATGATGTAGTATAAAAAATAAACAAAGGTGATGCACGATAAAGCACACAACTTTTGGGGCAACACAAAATTTCATGGATCAGTAATTAGCAATTTCAGCTTTGATGTTAAAAAACCTTCATTATCCCCATCCAAATCTTTTGTTTTAATCATGGATACAGTCATAAAGATGTGATGCAGGAAATACAGTGAACATCACACAATCCAGATATTACACAAGTAATGAAGTATAAAAACCACAATGCTCATCTAATCTGTATGGAACTGAGAAGGGTTTCCGTTTTCTTGTGTGTTGTACTGCTGCAGGAAAATAAACGGTTGTGATTGGCTGTTCCTCACCATGGCCCCTCCCACAATTGATAAAAAGCAAATCATTTGGCTGACTAGCTTTAAGCTGGTAAAACATGCTAACTAGACAAACAAACTTTTACCACATTTTACCACACTGTTTAAAAAAAACAGTGATTTTGATTTTACATTAAAGGGATAGTTCACCCAAATATGAAAAATCTGTCATTAATTACTTACCCTCATGCAGTTCCAAACCCGTATGACCTTATGACGTTCATCTTTGGAACACAAATTAAGATCTTTTTAATGAAATCCGAGAGCTTTCTGAACCTGCATAGACGGCAACGAAACTGACACATTCAAGGCCCAGAAAGGTAGTATGGACATCGTTAAAATAGTCCATGTGTCATCAGCGGTTCAACTGTAATTTTATGAAGCTACAAGAATACTTTTTGTGTGCAAAGAAAACAAAAATAATGACTATCAAATAATTTCTTGTCTTCCGTGTCTGAATTCGATGTACGTTTACGCATGTGTACATTCCTCTCTTTGCAAACAAGGCGCAGCGCATCCGTGTTCTATGTCAGAACATTGGCTCCTGCTTCAGCAGCACCACATGCATATGTTGTAGTAGGCCTACTGTTCTGAACATGCATCAAAGACTGATACCGAAGAGAAGAAATTGTTAAATAAATCATTATTTTTGTTTTCTTTGCAGACAAAAAGTATTCTCGTAGCTTCAAAAAATTATGGTTGAACCACTGATGTCACATGGACTATTTTAACAATGTACTTATTACCTTCCTGGGCCTTGAACGTGTCAGTTGCGTTGCGGTCTATGCAGGGTCAGAAAGCTCTCGGATTTTATCAAGAATATCTTGTGTCCTGAAGATGAACGAAGGTCTTATGGGTAATTAATATAATTAATGACAGAATTTAAATTTTTGGGTGAACTATCCCTTTAATGTAAATTTAAAAAGTTGTTTTAACAGTGTGGCAAAAATGTGGTAAAAGATTAACAGTCTTGTTAGCAAATTTTACCAGCTAAAAGCTAGTCAGCCAAGATGATTTGCTGACTTGCCTTTCAACTATTGCTTTGTGTTGAGCTGCTTATTGACCAATGTCAGGGTAGTACCATATTGAATTTTTGATGGGAATGAAATGAGGCTGAGGGACAGGAATACAGTGTTCAATGTACTGTACGATTGTTTGACATTCAGGTTGTTTAGTTGATGAAACGTCTTTCCGAAAAAACTAAGTAGACAAAAACTCCACAAAACAGTTTTGAAAATGAAATGATCTAGGAGCTTTATACAGTGCATGCAAAAGACTGTTAAAGGGGTCATATGATGCAATTTCAAGTTTTCCTTTCTCTTTGGAGTGTTACAAGCTGTTCGTGCATAGATAAGATCCTTAAAATTGCAAAGACTAAAGTCTCAAACCTAAAGAGATATTCTTTAAAAAAGGACTCATCCACACCCTCCTAAAACGCCTTGTTTAAACACGCCCCCACATGTCTATGTCACAAGATATGCATAACACCGCCCAAACGTTCACGCAAAGATAGAAGGCGTAACTTTGATTCGCTGTAGTATTGTTGCCACCGCCGCCATGTTGTGAAGACGCTGTGTGTTTCGTTGTGAAAGCAAAACTACTTTGTTTGGCCTTCCAAAAGAGGACACAACAAGAAATCAGTGGTTAAGTTGTATTTACAACACTGTTCCAGAACAGTTCAACCCAAATATTCAGATGTGTGCAGC